AAGAGCAAGAAATCAGGGATACATTTGCAATAATGAAAATAATCTTTGGTAAGATTCTATTTTGGGATTTGACTAAACCCTTCCAAGAATGCTGACCGCTTTTGGTAGCCAAACTGCTCCCAGATGTAAAAGCTGTCCCAGTTTACAAGTAATTTCAGTTTAAAGGAATCTTGGGACACCAGTGGGTTCCCTCAGCCTACAGCGTGAAAGAGGACACCTGATTTTGAGTACCAAGGTCATAACTCTGTCAGCAGTGTGAAGGGAAGCCTGCTGCCAGAGGGGAAGGTGGTCCTTCACAGAGGAGGTGGTCCCTGAATGATTGTATCTGCACAATGACATCAGGTCATTCTGGGATGGAATCGCTGAACTAGTAGGCCATTTGCAGGGTCAAAGGAAGCGATGACCCTTGTGCTCTTTCTTCATTTGTTTTAGGGTAGGTATGATTTGCCTTCAGAATTTCTTCAGCAGCAATGGGATTTGAATAAGATGATATACTTCCGCATGCGTGTTTGCGTGTGTGCGTGCAATTTTTAGAGAGCTCTTGTATGTGGGGGAGGGGGCGGGTGTGTGTGGGGAAATCAAGTATGGCTCCCAGTGATGTTTAGTAAAAATACTTTGAATAAGTGAATACAACTCTGGTCTGTGCATAGGAAAATAAGGATATAAATCTGTGGAAGGCCCCATTTAGAGGACACGTTTGTGGTCAACCCTTATTTTGTCATCTAGAACATGTCTTAAGCAATGCAGACAGAAGCGTCATCGAAACTTTTATGCCTCAGAAATTTGTTTTATCTTCCTTTTATAAGTTCATAACTTCCTGTGATATGAATCTTTCTTGTTTTTTCATGGAAAATAGTTTTGGAGGGCATTTTTTCCTCTCTCCCTTATAAACACCAAAAACCTGGAAGAACAGAAGTATTTCAGATTTAGCAGATCTTTCAAACCAGATGCTGCTTTTTCTGCTTTTAATTCCAAAATAGGCTTATTGCTTTACCGCAGCTGTGCAGCACATGACAGGCTTCTGGAAGCCTTTTTATTCACCCAATAAATGCGAGCAACTCAAATATTAGCCCAACGAATACCCAAAGGGTAGCATCAGAGGGACAAACAAAGCGGACAGTGTCTCCATCAGGCAGCTACACGTTTGGCTTTAACAACTGGTGGTGTGTCGTCTTGTTGATCAGTCCCTCTCAAATTTTAATGGGCGGATGACCTGGGGGGTCTTATTAAGTGCAGATTTAAAATGCAGATTTCGATTCAGTAGGTCTGGACTGGGTCTGAGTTTCTGTAGTGCTAACTGGCTCTTCCACAGTGATGGGGGATATTGGTCCCCAGGACACACTTGGAGAAGCAAAGGGCTAGACAGTTTCCCATTCTAACGGAGGCCTGGGGAAGGCAGTTTGCTCACGTGGCTGACGATCTTCATCAGAAGATCCTTAGAAAACTCAGAAATGAGAGTAGGAGAAAAAAACTATTTAATGACTTTAACGTCAGGACATGGCATAAGCAAACTGCAAGGTTAAAGAGAACGTGAAATAATATTCCATGAATTACAAAAGTGTACATAGAATAGCCGTTACATAAGAAGCAGGTTGTAAGAAAGGCAAAGTCCTTCCCTTGTCTATTGTTCCCCCCGTAGTGATCACATGGGGAGCAACATGGACTGTTTCAGTTGGGATAAAATTCTGCTGAGATGTACTTAAATGGTAATTACTGTTTACTCAGGGCAAAAAAAAAACAATTTAAGCCAGGTGATGAGAAGAATGTAGAATTCATTAACCTTCCCGCCCATGGTTCCTTTAGGAGAGGATTGTTTTAAAAAATTTGATTTAAAAAATGGCAGGTGGTGGTAATTTTAGGTATGTATTTACAAAGCTGTCCCAAACATACCATCCTGCCATGAAAGTCTTACTATTTCTTCCTGAGAAGAATTAACATAAACTCAAAAGACGGGCACGCACAGGGTTACTGGGAAGCTCGGGGAGCTAATATGGCTTGTATGGTGAGACTCAGTTCTGTGCCTTGGGGACCCTCTCCTCATATTGCCCCAGACATCATATGCCCTAAAAAACTGATCAGACCCCGTTCGTCAAAGATAACTGCATACACTCAGAGGTTTGGAGGACATGGCTGAAGATACAACAGAATCACTCTGGCTATAAGAGCAAGAAGCTTCTGAGCCATTGCAGAACTCAGGACACAATGAAATTACCAGGGTAGAACATGTTTAAAGCACACACGCACAAAACAACTTTGGATTTTGACATAATATTCCCTAAGGAGAAAAAAAAATAGATTGTGACCAAGACGAATCATGCAGTTTTCACTCTAATTTCCTGTCCTGGAAGTTAAGAGCCAAGAACGGTTGCTGAACTTGTATCCCTGAATTCACAGATGAGCCAAATCCTCCTTGAATCATTCCTCCCCTAACCCACGGAGATCTCCGACGAGCGCTGCCCAGCCTCTGAAGCCCGAAGCACCTCTATGTGGAGCTCAGCATTTTCATCTCCTTTCTGGGCTTTGCTGACACTGAAGCACCAGGCATTGTTGCTTTAGCTCATGTTTTTGAGTTCTGTTACTGTTGTTGTGCATGCTAAAGGCCATTGTTCTATTTGGAGATAGTCCACTGAAGATGAAGACATACCTTTTATACAAGTTACTGTCTTTCCAGATATCACAAAGTCATCCTTTTCAGATTTTAAGTCATGCTAGTGCTTAAAAAACTTTTAAGATAATTGATGCACTCATATTCCTTGGTAAATTTCCCCTGTCTGCTCCATATTAGCAGAGAAGACGTGAGCATGATGACCCACCCACATTGCTCCCGAAGACCCAAAGAGCACTGTCCAGAATTTCATCATTTTTAAGGAATGGTGAGGTGGAATTATCTAGAATTATCATATGATGAGCCCTCTAGGCTCACTCTGGGATGTTCTTCACATGAACGGTTCTCCTTTCTTCCCTAGGGCTCTGGAGGCCAGGCAGAACTTAGCCCCTCCCAGCCCCTGTCTGGGAGAATTGTCAGGTGTGTGTGTTTTGCCTTGTGTTTCGTTTTAGTTTTCTCTCCATTCTCTAAATGATTCCTTTTTAAAAGTACCTAATTTCCTTTGTAAGAAACTTGGTTTCCCCATCTTCTTTTTCCCTTTCTGTTCCTAATGGTTCTTGAGATGAAAACATTCTGTTGAGTTTCCTTATTTGTACTTGGGCAGCCTACTCAATGACTTATAAGAGAGTAGCAGGTGACCTGTGGTTCTCAGTGTTGAGAGAGAAGGCACATATTGCATTCTGGCATCCAAACATAGAGGCCGAAGACATAAAGGGCTAGATAATCATCTCCAGCATGGTGCCAAACATTCCTTTAAAGCAAAACCTCAATTTCTAATCTTCTATCACTTGGTCTCATGGATGAGTTTGCCTTTGTGAATGAAATAATACATCTTTAAATGTTTACCTCAGGTCAAGTATTTCTTTTTGAACACTCTACTTGGTGAGGTTATTAACTGCTCACAAGAACCTATACTCTACATAATGCACATTTTTGTTGGCCTCAAGTTTGGGGTTTAACTTTCTTTAATTTCTCCTAAAATTGTGAGCATGGTTGTGATTGCCCCTTTACTACCAGTTAAATATTATTTCTTCATTGATGATTCTATGAAAATTGTGTATGGTTACATCCACTGCATCTGGCACTTCTTTTATGGACCAGAAATCTTCCAAATGGTTCTTTGCGTATCATGATCAGACGTATTGTTATTGGAGTCTCAGGACCAAAACTTCCTTCCTGTCATATGTGTATGACTTATTTTTTTCATTTCCCAGTTTACTGCTTCTTGGTTTAGGCTTGCTGTAGCTATTGCATTCAGTAATTGTTCTTTGAGTGTACCTTTTCTTGGTAGAAATCAGCCCAGATTACTTACCGTGACAAGGCTTTGACTCTTGTGGTAGTCTTTTGTATTTCCAAAATAGCCCAAGGAGTCCATTAATTCTGCCAAATAACCAACCATTTGACCGAGAAGAAAAATATCTGTCAAACCAGGTACTTGATTACATTGCTGTATACTGTGCAATTAGATTGGGATTGTAGTACATTGTATATTGTGGATTCCAAGCATACTGCAGAGCAAATTCTTGTCTCTAGGTAATTACTAGTGTGATGGATTATCTAATTTACAGTGGCCTAAGTCATGTATTTGAAATGGGGCTAAGATCTGTAGGATGAACAAATGCAACTCCAATAATACACCTGCAAAACTATAACTTAGTATCTGTGATAATGAACAGATTACAGTGTGGAGTTCAGGGCTGTGAATGAGAAGCAGAATGGCTGAGGTCTGTTCCAGCTCTGCACAACACATTTCTTTTGACCCATCCAGACTTGAGTTTCCTTATTTGTAGAATGAGGGAGTTAGACTATATTTTCTGGGGCCTCTTCTAACTTTGAAAAGCTAAGATTCTACCCTCCAGTGGAGATTGGCTGCCCCTTCTTGACTTTGGCAGATGGCCAAGGGTCAAGGATTCTTCTTCAGATCCTTCTTTCAAATCTCTTCTGATCTTTGGCTTCAGAATATAGTTTTGTTTAATCTTATGGGAGGAAACACTTTTTAGTGAAATGAACTACCTCTTCCCATGAAACAGGGAATACATAGTTAATTTGGTGGAATGACATTAACTCATTTAGGTCATTTTGTTCTTCATTATTTTATTTAATAATGAGCTCCTATGACCTTTAGGAGCCTCTCCACCCAGACAGTAACAGTCTCTCTTCAGGTTCTGGTTCTAGGTGAGAGGATGATCTTCTCACTGTGAGCAAGTTAATCCCTGTGATCCAGTAGGGAGGTAATAGCCTGGGGAACCATATGCCTATTGGATGCACACATCTGGAAAATCCTCCTTGGTGGAGCAAACATACAGCTCTGACTTTTTCATCCACATTAATGAGAAGTGAGGAATGGCCCTTTAGTAAGATGTAATTATGTAATAATGCAACAAAGCTGGCTAACACAGCATTTCATTTATTACAGGGCTAAATGCTCATTATTGTTTATAAAGAATGAATCCATAACCTCTGCAGAATTATAGTTTATGCACGGTTGATTTCCATTTACAGAGGAAGAAAGTCCTAGTTGTCTCTAAATGTCAAGCTTTGACTTACAAAACTCCCGTTTTCTTTTAGTTTGGGCGGTGTGTGTGTGTGTGTCTGTGTATGCGCGTGTAAGTGCGTGTTTAAGAAAATGTTTAGCGACTAGATGGGAGAGCAGGGAAATAGGTCTTGAAACGTGGAAGAAGGGAAAACTTATTTCAGAAATTCTAAACAAACAAACAAACAAACCCAAACAACTGAGGGGATGTCATGGAAGGTCTTAACAGAAAAGACCCACATCATATGTTTCTTTTTTATGGGCTTCCTCCAGGAGCAGAAGGGACTACAAAGACTGGATTTTTCCAACAGAAGGAGTGTGAATCCGGAAATTGTTATGCTAAAATCGGTGTAATTTGATGCTGCAAAGAGGCACTTGGCTTATGCAATTGAAATAAAAAGTAAAGTGCCTACCTGGGTGTTTCCCGGGTAATTGTAAACAAGTAAGACTAATTAGGAGACTTTATCGTCTCTAATTAAAAGCTAGGAAATAATTCACTCTTGATACAAGAATCCCTGGCTGTTTGGAAGAGGCATATAGAAAGGGCACATCATTCTTTACTGGGGGCTTTTACTTTCTGAGACCGAAGGTCCTGTTCTACAGAACACAGCATTTTGAAAGCAGGGGATAAACAGATTCAGAGCTTGGTACCCACAGATCCGTCCCCTAAATGCACATTTGGGACAATGAGTGTAGGAAATAGGGAGAGGCAATATATTAGTACCAGCTGCACTTGGAAAATGTCATTTAAACAGAAGTGGGAGCAGACGTGGGCCAAGCTGAGAAACCCTTCAGGTTGAAGCAAGTGGAAATATGGAAACACTTTGCTTAACCTTTGGGGACTTTTAAACATTTACTTTTTCATGCCCCATGGCCAGGTCTTTCTTTTAGATCAGGTTACTGTTGGGCAAGGGAGAAAGTGAAATTAAGGGAGGAAAAGGGCATGAGCCCGGAAAGGCAGGGAGCAGGGAAGTTCACTTTGCTGAATAAAGAATATTTTAAAACCTAGGTCTGCCATATTCTCCCCCAATCAGTTTGATTAAAAAGCAGAAGTACTACTTTCTTGAACATAGTTCATTTGTAATTTGCCATGACAATATAAATATAGGAGAAAAATAAGGCTACCCATCAGCGAAAGCATTTCCGGGGTGAATCTTTGGCACAAGTGTGGCCTGGAAACAATTCAGGTGGTGTTTCTCTTTCAACCAGGTTCAAAAATCTTGGCTTTGTAAATTTCCAAAAGTTGTAACATTTTCTTGTTTTCTTCTTACAGTCTGGCATTCAGAGGTAAGTGCTGGTTCTAATAGCTTTGGTAGAAACAAGCTGAAAATGGAAATGAATAAAAAATATTTTGTCTTTAGGCTAATTTGGTATGGACTTGTAAGGCCTGAGTAAATTGGTAAATTAGTACATTTCTTAAAATAATACAAATAAATGCAAGACACATAGGTCGAACAACAGATTCAGAAAACAAAGTTAGTATAGTATTCCTGTGTTTTGTAGAAGACACGGGGTAAGGCCACCAATACAGGAACCGAGTTCCTCTTCCGGTTTCTTGGGGATGGCTTCCTATCATCAGCTTCACGTTCGTGGAGGGGAGGCGCAAAACGCAACATGGTCTTTGCCTTCGTTTGCAACATGGTCCTCAGCGGCGCTGGGTGACCTCCGGCGGCCTCAGCATTCTCACAGATTGTGCAATGTGGACGCTTCGGGCTGGTAGGGGGGACGTGGCAGCTGTGTGCTGTGCTTGCGGGTGGTGGTGGGGGCTCCCGGAGTGGAGGAGCAAGACTCCGTGCAAAGGGACTTCTCTGGTCTCGCCCTCCTTCGTGGTTGAGCTTGGTCTCAGAGGTCGGCGCCCCTCTCACCCTTAGGTGGGTGGGGGCCAGCCTCCCAGCAGCCTCAGATAACTGAACAGCAGCTTTGACACTCAGAGCAGCGTTTCTTCTTTTTCTTGGGGTGGAAAATGGTGAGGATTGCTTCATCAAAAACCGCTTTGAGACCTTTCTGAGTTAGGGCCGAACATTCCAAGTAGCACTGTGCTCCGATCTTCAACACAAAAGGGAGAAAGAAAGGCGTGAGAGGGAAAGAAAAGAGAAAAGCAGAGTGGGATCAGCCCCCTGCCCAGCCAAGTGCTACCTCTCCTTGTCCCACAAACAGCCCTGGGGTGGTTTTGTTTTGTTTCGTTTTTTTTTTTGTTTTGTTTTGTTTTTTGCATTTCCATTTGCATCTACTATCTTAATTTTTACTTTCTGATATTAGCAATAAATGGCTGTGGATTGCTTTTGGTTAGGCAGTAAGTTCTGAGAGTGAGCCATAGCCACTCATTCCTAATATAAGAATATAACAAATGTAAAAATTGAGAGAGGATTCAAAAGCAGTGATATGGTTTAAATATACTTTGTGAACAACAGGGCTACATGATGTTGTTTTTAGCACCCTTTCATATGCATGCGGAATGTGTAAATGTGGTACAAGTGAAATGTATCTCCTTCTGTAAGCGGGAAGGCAAAGTGTCAACTTGGTTGGTAAAGCATATAGAAAGGGACTGGGTGATAAGGTTGGTCATTCTTCACTAAAATGCACTTTTGATGAAGTCTGTCTCAGCAGGATAATATCCAATTGGTATTATTATTTGGTTTTAACATACTTTAAAAGACATATTTCTAAGGAGTTGAAAAACCCAAAACATGTAAAATAAAAATCATAAAATACATTTACTGATGGAGACACCCTCCTTGTTAGTATACATTCTATGTGTACTTAAATGATAAAAATATTTTGTTCTTGCTTAGGGCTTTATTTCAAAGCTTTTGATGATTTCATACTATGGTATATTTGATAATCACAAAAATCCCTTTGAGAAATATAGGAATTCAGTCCAAACTAGAGCTTCTCATTTAAAAAATAGCAAGCCAGAGCAGACCACATTTGGCAGTCAAATTCAAGAGATTGTTCGCGTGAGGGAGACTCAGGGTTTTAATTGCTCATAAGCTTGGTATGAGCTAATAATATAATGTGGGCCTTTTAATATCAGGGACGTTTGGAGAAATGCTTTTATTATATACTTCACATTATGAGAATCACTGAAGAACCAAAGCAGATTCACAAGAGGGTAGTTGGATGGTGAGCCCTTGGAAGCCACAGCAGTTACATGACTAAAGAAGGGTAGCAAAACCACATGCCTATTCCAGTAGCTTCCGTGAATGAGGAAAGCAGGGCAGGTGCCAGACAGGAGGCACAGGTGGAAACTGGGGCGGACCTGAAGCACACACCCCCTCTAGAGCTAGCAGTCTTACCCAGCTGTGGACAAAGTCATTGCCGTGGTTCGCTGTTGCCCATCTTTGTACAGTTGGACTTTTGGATTTTTAGTTAATAATTACCAATTTAGAAAATACTCTGTGGGCCAACCAAGACACTAATGTGTGATTTCTTTGTCAGCGACTAGCCAGTTCACAATGTGTGGACTAAAGGAATTTGTAGTTTAGCTTAGGATAGAGTGGGAACAGCCCCAGAAGGAAAATGAATTGTTGAAGGGCACCCAACCAGAAAGTAGAAGAACTAGACCAGAATCTGGGTCTCTTGGCATGTATTCTTTTCTTTGTTTCATGACGATTACCCTTATCACTCAACTCTTCAAGAAGCTGGTCAAGGGGCGCCTGGGTGGCTCATTTGATTAAGTGTCTGCCTTTGGCTCAGCCTGGGATCGAGACCCACGTGGGCTTCTCCCTCTCCCTCTGCCACTCCCCCTGCTTGTGCTCTCTTGCTCAAATAAATAAATAAGTAAATAAAATCTTAAAAAAAAAGAAGCTGATCAAAAACTAAGCATGAAATAAAGTTTTTCTGGTTGGGTCTAGATATTTTGCACTTTTTTTTTTCCTATAAAGAATAGATACTGTGCGAGCTAAAGGAAAATACCCGCAGGAAAGATGTTGGATATTAAGAACCTATATTATGGTTTCATTTTAACCATGGTTTGGCCTTTGGATTAAAAGATGGCTTTTTTATATGCAACTGATGAATCACTAAACTACCTCTGAAACAAACAAAATGGCTTTTTAAAATCGTTAAAAACGGTTGGATGCAAAAGAGGGATAAAAAATAGAGAAAATTTTCCTAGTAATGTCATGAAAGATCATCGATTACATTTGGGGATTGTAGCCAGCACTATGAGCGTGTGAAACGCACACCACTCTAGTGAAGATGTCAACTGAACGACTGCTTGTAATGTGCTGCCTCTTCTCTGTCATCCTGAAAAAATATCCACAGAGAGTGCTGTGGGGCCACCCGGCCTGGAATGCCACCCTGCTATGATCCCAAGCCTCACTTGATTCCAGAAATTACAGGGGAGCTGGGCTCAGTTCACACGTGGGGCTCTGGGCCATCTGATCCTGCAAGATGGGCGGGGGGCGTGTGTTGTCCTCCCTCCAGAGCGCTGCTAACAGCTTGGCACAGCTTGCCTTCTGAAGGTGGAGGAGGAGCCCAGATGCTGTCCCCATTCAGATATTTCTGAAGATAACCAAACAGTGGATCAAGGCATTATTGAGTAACTGCGTTAATATAACAGTTTCAGACTGAGAGTTCCAGGAAAAGTAGCCAACAGATTTTGGGTGTGATTTGGGAACTATGTGTGAGAGAGAGAACCCAATTAGGAGGTGAGTATTTTGTTAACCATGTATCAAGTGCTCTGGGTCAGAAAGAAGACTTCATTCACCCTGGTTCAGGGAAAAGGCACAGCCATGTTATAGACATTGCTAAAAAGAAACCACCTCATTAATGACCTAAAAAGTGTGAAATGGAAAACTGTCTCAAGGAAACATGGCTTTCCTTACAGCTTCTATGGCCTCTTGGAGCAAAGTGACCTACAAAGCCAAATATTTACAACAATCTGTAAGAGCTCAGGATTTGTGGATGCTTGTTTAGATACACACATTAGCAATCCGTGACATGCTTTGCCAAAATGATTTATTTTCCAGAAAAAAAAAAAAAAGAGATTGAGGAATGTACACTGAGAGAACACTTTTCTCATAGCTTTATGATAGCTGAAATTTATCACCCCCAAGCTGGGAAATTTGTCAGACATGTAGAGAACATACAAGAGTCTGACAAGAAGAAATGAAACAAACCAATGGACCAACAGAACCCACAGTGACCAATCAAGTGAAAGAAAACCTCCTACTTCTTCCAGGTTGTCTTGGTGGAGGTGAGACATGTTATAGAATAAAATAGAGTATAACTGGAAGAAATAAAGGCAAAGAGGTCTTCCCAGCTATAGATGCCTCTGAGAGGCACATGAATTTAATGACAACTATAGTTTGCTGAGCTGGACCTCACATTTCTTTGGGTCACTTAATCCTTGTAAGGACTTCGCAAGGTAGGTCCGTCACCATCCTCATTTGCAGCTCAGCAAACTGACACCAGAGAGAAGAGGTTCCCTCCGGAAGGGCACACAACTAAAACAATGTCAGAGGTTTGAATTTGTCCCCTGAGCCAGAGTCTTAACCACTCTGTGGGGCTGCCTCTAGCAAATGAAAAGAGATATGGCCGAAAGGGCAAAACTAATGAACAAACGGAGATGTTGTTTTGGATGTAATGAGGGTGATGAGAGACGATGGGGTGAAAGAGTAAGGCATTTCCTATAAATGGAGAGAAGAGAAAATATTAGTGGAATAAGCAGGGGAAGCTGGTATCTCAACAACCAGTGAATAACTGAGAAGTTTTTTCTCGCTTATTTAAGAATTAGGAAAGGTACAGGCAATTTAAAAGCCAAGAAAAGGAAAAGGAACCCAAGAGCTTGTGCGATAAATTTCATCCTAACAAATTGCTCAAAGAGGAAAAATGTTTCAGGCTGGATGGATTTGCAGCTGATTTTTTTCTAAGACTATAAAACAGCAATTGCCAGCACAGGGGTGGCTAGATAATGTGAGTGCACTGCTCGAGTGTAGGTTAATGGAGTGGTGGGGACTGTGGCAAACTGAAGGTTACGTACCTTGTCTAAAAGACTATTGAAGGATTGCAGGTGATGAGGAAATGCTGGCCTAGTGTTGCCAGACCTTCTGATTTTTTTTTTTTTAGAAGACAGAAATGTGTATCTTCATGAAAACTTTCCATTGTTCAGTGTTGGCCACCAGATCACATTAAAAATACACGTGTGGACTGATGAAAGCATTTGTGGGTGAAATTTGGCTCATCACTTGCCAATGTACTGCCTATGCTTTAAAGGATGCCTTTACATATACAGGTCTCTCTGTTTGGAATTTTTTTCTCCCTAGTCCCCAACTTTGTCCACTTGACAAACTTGTCCTTATCCTTCAAACCTGGCTCAGATGTCACCTGCTCTGAGAAGTTGTCTGGGAATCCTCCTTCCCTGAATGTGTCCATCACTACCCCCCCCCGCTACCTCAGTACTAAGTATTCATTCAGGGGGCATGCTTTTGTTTGCTGGTCACCTTCCTCTTTTGGCCTCTGGGCCTCTTGAGGGAAAGGGCTTCATTTTGGCAACCAATTTTCAATGACCATGAGAAAAAGAAGCGATGGCCAGCACACAAAACAAGGAGGGTAACGGTGACTTTTGCAGTCAGTAGGTGGGTATTATTATTATTATTATTATTATTATTAAAGATTTTGTTTATTTATCTAACAGAGAGCAAGAGGGAGAGATCACGAGCCAGAGGGAGAAGCGGAGGGGGAAGCAGACTCCTCATTGAGCAGGGAGCCCGATGCGGGGCTCAATCCAGGAACACATGACCTGAGCCAAAGGCAGATGCTCAACCAACTGAGCCACCTAAGCACCTCAGTAGGTGGGTATTAAAGACTCTGGTCGATTAAGATGACTGAACATTGAGGAACACCTGGGTGGCTCAGTCAGTTAAGTGTCTGACTCTTGGTTTTAGCTCAGGTCATGATCTCAGGGTGGTGGGATCAAGCCCTGTGTCCGGCTCTGCACTCAGTGTGGAGTCTGCTTCAGATTCTCTCTCCCTCTCCTTCCTGCTCACTCTCAAATAAATAAATAAAAAATAAATACATAAATAAAATCTTAAAAAAAAAAAGATGATTGAACACTGATTACAGGATTTCTGCAGCAGTTTTGCTGCTTTAAACTCACTGGTGCATGCCTGTTCCAAAGCCAGCAGGAAACAGGTACGAAGGCGAAGAGTGAGAACAACAGTAAGAAAGGCCCAGGGTGGAGACGGCGGGACAGGGCAAAAAGAGGCCAGAGGCTGAGAAAGGGGAAACATTTTGTCAAGAAATACCTTAGGAGTCTGAACTTAGAAAATCAGGTTTAGGGTGTGTCAAATGGAATTGGGAAAGAGAATGCACCAAGAATTATAATCTTCAAGCTAGAGTGTAGCAAGGCGCCTGGCACACACTAGGTGTTTGGTGAGGTATCGACAGGTAAACCCAGGAATAGTAAGGACGTGTGCAGATGAGGAAAGTTGGCTGGAGATTAAGAAAAGCAGTAATGACAAGAAGAGGGAGGATAAAACAAGTAGAGGGATAACAATGAATATTTATCATCAATTGATACAAAATATTTATGTAAATGTGGTTGACTTTTGACAAGTGTAAAGAATGTAAATATGTATGATATGAAAATATCCTTTAAAACTAAAATGCCCTTTGAGACTAAAAAGAGATGATAGATGAAAAATGCTTTGGAAGTTGAAAAGTACTGAACAAAAGGAATCGAATATGAAAAATCTGAACGTGCAAAGCATTTAAACAATGGGGGAGAATATGCACATTAAAATACGGGGCTTCAGTATGTAAAAAAGAAGCCCCAAACCTAAGGGTTGTTTTTTTTTTTTTTTTCAGAATATAGGAGGGAAGCAGAAGAGCATGGTGGTCAAAGCAGTTTCATATCCCAGTTCTGCCACTTTCTAGCGGTATGACCTTCGCCTCTGAACCTGAGTTTCCTCTAGGAACTCTAGGGAACCAATAATACACACACCTCAGGGGGTTGCTGCGAGGATTAATTAAGACAAGGCATGCAAAGTGCTTGGCAAAAAGCTTCGCACATGGCAAACACTCCATAGATGCTAGCTGTTATTATAAACTACTTGACAGGAAAGTCAGGGAGCAGAGAAACTTAAGGCATCTCTATAATTACACGCATTGTGATGAAACAAGTTAAACTCTTGCTTGGATTTCTTCTAAATTGGATTTCGTAAGCTAAACATGATTCTCTCCCTATCTGAGAGCAGTTGCTAGGAGAAACTGGCAAAAGGCAGTAAAGTGGTGAACTCAGCCATTGTTCCTAAAATAAATATGAAACCGAGATGGGAGGCTTTGGAGTGACTTCTTTTCAAAGGGAAAAACAATTTCCTAAATGAGAGGTCAGGCCAGGACACTGACAACATTATGGTGGAGCTAGGACAGAAGCAAGGGACACAGAGACCAAACTACTGCAAAATGCACCAGCTGATTCTCCTGGGGGGGGGGGCGGGGCGGGGACCGCCTTGTTGTGAAAAATGCTGGGAATCATATACAATTGTCTGTGGAGCTGTATGTCTGTGTGCCTTAGTAAGGGAAGTTAAGCTGAATGTGTGAGGAGGAGGTAGAAGAACCTATAAGCATGTACCCATTTTACAGGAGGCAAAATAAATAGTTGGAGGAGACAGTTTACACCATGGTCAGGTGCACAGTGGTGACACCCACAGATCTGGATTAAAGTTGCTCGGGTGATTATCAGCTGTGTGAATCCAACACGTTCATCTCCCTAAGACTCTGTTTCCTCACCTGCACAATGAGACAAACACTATCTGCTTAAGAGGGTTACTGAGAGGCTGAAATGAGACAGAGCCTGTCAAGTGCTTAGTATTGTAAGAACTCGGTGAATGGCTCACACTGGTAGTTCTGACATGAGAGTCACAGAAGTAGGAAGTGTTGTCTCAAGTATGTGTGAGACATTCTCATGTAGCATCCATAAAAACACAATTCTATTTAATTCATTTCTATTTGAGTGTATCGCTTAGTCCTGGTGCCTATAAGAACATTTTAAAGAAGAGAAACACATACATCTTTATTCACAAGGAATTTGTAGGTAATATCCTTGGGTGACTCCTTCTCTGCCCAGCATTTTGCAGGGTTAGTTACTTTAGAAACTTCAGTTACTTTAAGATTTTATTTATTTAGGGCGCCTGGGTGGCTCAGTTGGTTAAGCGACTGCCTTCGGCTCAGGTCATGATCCTGGAGTCCCGGGATCGAGTCCCACATCGGGCTCCCTGCTCAGCGGGGAGTCTGCTTCTCCCTCTGACCCTCTTCTCTCTCGTGCTCTCTGTCTCTCATTCTCTCTCTCTCAAAGAAATAAAATAAAATCTAAAAAAAAAAAGATTTTATTTATTTATTTATTTGAGAGAGAGAGAGGGAGAGCATGAGCCAGCGTGTCAGGTGGGGGCAGAGAGAGCATCTCAAGGAGACTCCCCGCTGAGCTCAGAGCCCGACTTGGGGCTTGATCTCATGACCACGAGATCACGACCTGAGCTGAAACCAAGAGTCAGATGTTCAACTGACTGAGCCACCCAGGTGCCCCCAGAAGCTTTAGTTACTTTAGAAAAAGAGCAATTTCTGAAACCTCTGGCCTGGGCCTATGGGTTTGTGACTAAATCAGTGAGGTGGAATCAGGTTAAGGAAATGATTTAAAAGCCTCCTCTTGCGTAAAACACCTCCTCCTCTTGTGTTCATTTTAGTGTCTGCTTTTACACACATCTTGGTGGTAATTGATTTGGTCTAAATAATTTCCCCATCAGAATGACCATTCATGTGAAGCTCTCAAGAACGAAGAAAGGTCGGTGAAAACAGTTCCAGCTATGAGCTAGTTGCTATTAATCTGTCAGCAGGCACTTGGATTCTCCAACTGGTTACCCTCTGGTCTATGTTACTCTTCTTGATGCTATTTGTGACATACTCCAGCCTCTCTAAGTGGCTATTCATTAGATGGTGAACAAATATAACCCTATCAGATGCTAATCTAAGTTTTTCCCAAGGAAATCACAAAATGCCTTTTATGGGGTCATTTCAGTGAATTACATTGATAATAAGCAGTAAGATGTACAAATATATATATCTAATGACTCCCTTTATTCACACTAAATACAGCAACTGGATATTCCAAAGGTTGCTAAATCAAATGATAAGTGCTTCAGTGGTTTAATTCACCAAGTTTCTTTCTTAACAAGAAACAGACAATGGTGGCTGGGAAGAATGCTAACCAAATGGTCCCTTCCAGCCTACTTAGAACAGAGGGAACAGCATCAAGCAGACAGAAGATCCTCGAACACGTTGCACTTTAAAGCAAAAGCCTACGTAGCTCAGCCATTCCAAATCATACACCAGATTCTTCTCTCAGCATATACTTTAAAATGAAATTCAAATCTGACTGTACCGCTTTTGCAAGCTTCACACCATGCTCGTAAGTGAGAGGTTTCTCTTTCATATACAGCAAACGGGCCAAGGTTTTGGGGTCATCGCGGAGATCAATCTGGCAAAAAACAAACAAAACAAAACACATGTGATAAATTCACTTATTTTTTTTGACCTAACCAGCAATTTTAACTGTGATTTTAAACCACCATATGGTAGAGATTCCACCCCCCTCCCTTAAGATCTATGAAGTTGCTTACTTTTCTTTAAGGAGGCACATACACATGCCCATGTTACATCTAAAAAAGTAAAGTGATTTCTTTGTAAATGTAAACATCAGGCTTTCCATGTGCTTTCTTCTTCAAAAGCAAGTCCCCCAGGAAGCTGGGGACTTAATGCCAATAATCCTGTGGTTTGTTTCAGGCATTTTTGAAATTTCCTATTTACTTTTAGATCCCACTTACAGGAGATGTATGATGATCAATCAGTCTTATTACCTAACAGTGATGCCTCATTTGATCCCAAATTATATTACTCATTTCTTAATAGTCTATTTCCTGGCTCTGAATACATCTTTGTCTTTACCCTCACCAGGATAGAGATTTCCCTCCTGTGAGGATATTCTAAGGAATGTCACTGTAGGCTCTGAAGGCACTCCTAAAAAGGAATTCCCAAAGGGTCTGCTCAAGGAATAAGCATTAATCTTTTCAAAGGCGGAACTACTTTGAAAAAGGCATATATGTTTGGATTAGTTTTGATAATTTAATTAAATATTTTAGTTGCTTTAAAATCTCACTGTGTGTGTGAACCTATGGATACATGAATGGGTGTAAATGTGGGCTTGAATTTTAAGGAAAAGCCAATGTATTCATATATGAGAGTTCCATTTATAAGCACATTGCTCAGCTTTTCTAATTTGTGGGTTTTTTTTTTTCTTTTTTGGTCTCAATTGTTCAATGTAGTGCCCACAATTGTAATATTGGCTCAAATTGCACAAAGATGTTTAGGTCCTGCCACGTATTTTGGCCAACATGGCCAAACGTTATCACCTGGAGTTAAGGTAAAAGACTGCATTTAAACAATTATCTTTCAGAGTCGAAGCACTAACTATATTCTGATTTTTGGATGTGTTAATTATCTGTCCATATCTTCTCTAGGAAGTACTTTTCTTTTACTATTTTTAAAAATTTCTCTTTGTTAAACAGAATATAAAATGAGAAATAGAAAGCAGGAGCATATGAAACAGATAACAATAAAACCCGTCAGTATTATTATGTTTCTGTGTCTTTGGACAGTAATTTAGGTTTTAACGTAGAGAAGAACACAATCCTTTCAAAACTAAAAAAAGTAGGAAAAATCTCAAAACACATTTGTGCGATTGGCTTACTGTTGGAAATTCAAATTATAGAACTTCATTAGCTTTCAAAACACTTCAAAGCCTTTGACAATCACAGGTTTGTTTACATCTGTTTTTAACCTCTTTCCTAAGATCCAGAAGACCAACAGGTTTAAAGGGAACAGAGAAGAGTGAATTTCTGTCTTCCTTTTCCAGTGGTGTTAAGGAGTTCCTGTCAAAATGTGCCCATTCTGACTGCTGGGGTCATTTTGACATTCACACCTATTTTGTGACTTCCAAACAATTGTAGATTTAAGATACAAAAAATATTAGACAATAAGTGTGACTGACATCCCCACCTCATTCCTCCCGCTCAGGGCTGGAGAAGGGCATCTACTTCGAAAGGTACTTTGTTATTTAAAAATAAAAAGCAGAGAGATTAATTTTTAAAGACCACATCAAAACCTGCTGCTTCATATTAAATAGCTCTATTGTTTTTTCGACCACGGGCTAAATAATCACGCAGATCTTAAGAATGGCTGTTTATCGGACTGATAATATCTGAGACACTGTTCTCTTGTGTGGGTGAAATAGATGTTCAGGAGACACCTAAAGGGTCTTTCCTTTTTTGCTGCCCTCCTGCCCTGCCCACCCTGCCCACCATTGCTGCCTCTAACCTGGGTCCCTATGAGGACGTAAGGCACATGAGGCATGCAGTCCTTCAGCTCTGGAACCCATTCCTCCTGGATGTTGTGGTAAGAGGCAGGATTCACAACAGAGAAGCAGATCAAAAACACATCAGTGTTGGGGTAGGAGAGCGGCCTCAGCTGGTTGTAGTCCTCCTGAGGGAAGAGCAAAGAGTTTGTACAGCTTAGGAAAAGGCAGGTCCCCTGTGGTTGAGTGTCCTGGGCAAGACGCCACTGCAGTGCCCTGTTGCCTGGTTCCTTCCCAGCCCTGGGGTCTGGTGGTTCCCTCCAGGTATTGCTAGAAATAAGGGAGTCGTCAGTCAGGAAAACACCTTTTTGTTGTGTATAGAGATTGTGAATTGCCCCCTTATAAAGAAGAAATTAAAAAGAAAAATTTTCAGCAGCTTTAGTGAGGTAATTTACATACTATAAAGTTCACCCTTTGAATGTATATAATTCAATAAGGATTATGGCAATTCCCAGTAGCACTGGAATTATGTCGTATTAAATATGATTTAAATTAGTGTGCCACTGGCCAAGGCACAGCAATTCTCTTCTTATACAATTTTTAAAAATTGCATGCAAATTTAATTTAGAATAAGCTAGCTATAAATGTAAAACAGAGTTGTTGCCAAATCAGACACCACAATTTTGTAGAAATAATATTGTGTGAAGGTTTAGAGTTCAGAATTTGGGATTCCGTTCTACCTAGAGGCCATAGTGTGGCCTAGTAAATAAAATACTAGATTATTTTTTTCCCCTCTTTTCAGATCAGAATATGCTCTGGTTGAAGAGTTCCTGGTTACATAAGATGTTTACGTATATGCTGTTTTAGGGGAAGATGATAAAGACAAAGTAAAACATTGGATCATCTCAACTTTGGGAAAATGTCAGCAAGTATCTTTTTGTATGTGAAGTGTTTTAGGAGGTTCCAAGGTAAATCGGCTATTTCAATATAACATTTTATATTTTCATCGAATTTAGTAACACATAAGCCAAAAGTAATTTTATGTGTGTGTATACTTACACTATATAAGTACATACCATGTATACATACATGTCTACACACACTGCAACTGACACACTGGTCATACACACCATGCATACTTCATATAGGCACCCACACTATGTACGTGCACACACTATATGTACACATGGCAACAAAACCTGTATGTTCACGCTTACCACATACATAGACATGGGCAACATATCAATCCATTTTTTAGGGTCCTGACTACTCTTCCTAACATTTAAAAAAAATTATAAAACCCATATACGTTCATTGCAAAAATTCAAACATCACCTAGAGTAATACAGAAGAAGTGAAAGCTTGTTTTCACCCTCTATGTGATCTCTACTAGTTTTTCCTCTCTTCCCAGAGGGAGCCATGATTTAAGAGTATCCTTCCGAATTTTATATATTTATTTACAGATATAATAGACATGTATTTAGTTTAAAAAAGATAAATTGATTGCATAGTTCATATTGTGCCACTTGATTTTTTAAACTTGCTATGTCACGGATATTTAAAAATATCAACTTTGCTATCTTCCTAATGACTCTCAGGATGTCTTTATAAAAAGGGAGGACATATGTACATGAACACATGTGACTGGAAGGAAGTCCCTGGTGGGTGGGCATGCGCTGATTTACTGTTGAGCTACTCCAAGTACGCAGCCCGCAGGGACTCAGCACACAAGGCTGCAGCTATTACCACCGCTAATCCTACTAAAATCTAAGCAAAGGTTTTTAATTATCTAAACAAAATCAGTGTAAGATGGCAAGGATGCTGAAAAATCCTAAGTCCTAAAAAGCAAACTAAAAGAATAAAAAAATCAGTTATAGTGGCTCATTGATCATATTTCTATGAAGCCAATAATCAGAGTTGGGGGCACTGCTGAATAAACGCTGGTCATACTGGGCTGTTGGGCTGGGCCTACAGGTTGCGTATCAGCTAAATTGTTCCCGGTGTGTGTGTGTGTGTGTGGTGCTGGTGGTGACAAGGCAGTGGGGAAGTGGACAGCTCACTTCTTGTCACCACCCCCTCCTCTTTATACAAGAACAACCCGGTAACCAAACCTTGGCCACGGTCTCTGCACTGCTCTCCTTTCTCTCTGGGGCTTTCCCTTAGGGAGCAGCTGTGAGGCTGACAAGCTAAGAACTCTCCTTCCCAGGCCATAACTTACAGCTGTTCATGATACCACCTGCCCTCTGCCACTTCATCCTCCCATCTGGATTGTGATAAATGGAGCAGGGACCATGCTGTTTTTTTCTCATGCCCTAGTTATACTCTGTCCACAGCACACATTCCGTAAATGCCGCTCACGGATTGGGGCAGTGACCTGCAAATGAACACATGGCTTTCTGTCGGTCATTTATGGCAGAGTTTTCATTAGAATCACCGGGGGAACTTTAAGTCCATCCTGACACCCTGCTAGCCAACCACCTGCTTCTCTCCCCACACTCCAGACCCAATTAAATCAGTTTTTGGAGAGTGGGCCGGGGTATCGGGGCATTCTGGTATCATGGACTTGGAATTGACGTGGAATTGAGAATAACTGATTTGCATCATCCTTAACTTCATCATCACTGAGGTTGCATCAGGGCCTTAGCATGAAGGGCCAGGCCTTGCTTCAGGCACTTACATGCATTACCTTGTTGAATCTTCATAGCACTGGAGAGATGGTAGCATCCACATCTGTATTTCATAGAAGAGGAAGTTAAGTTTTAGAGAAGTTTGGTAATGAACTATTAAATACTGGGATGGGCTATTTAGCCCAAATCCAGCTGCAGCTCTTAATTGTGAGAACATTATTTGCTTCAGCTCAGAACTTTAAGTGACAGATTAAGCATTTTTTTTTTGGAAAATTCAGTTTTCTGGGAATCTTAATACAAATGCTTAACCCAGGAATCTAAGAAATGTTGGACCTTCCAGGTTTAGTTATCTATTTCATGGCCTGCAGTTGCTAGCAGTTGCCACCAGATGGCAGCAGACACTGCATATTTAAAATTTAACCTCAAAGCCAAAACCCAAAAACTGCACAATCAGATGTGTCACAACTAAATAAGATAGGAACAAATAACTAGTGGTCTGAAAGGGTCATGTTTATTTGATTCTATACCCAGAAGCTATCAAAGCGATTCTGCTTCCATTCTGGAAGAGTTAGGAAGACCATGGGTTGCTGTGGGGGCCTGTAGGTGGAGTGTGAGAGGAGCTTGGGTTTTTGATCATGGCAGGGTAGCCAGGGCCCTCCAGCTGAGCGATTTGTGACTTTGTCCTTCACTGGGCTTTATCTTGCTCCGTATTCTGGATACCTCTTCCGTAGAAGCCTTAGTTCTGCTGTGTAACTCCATTCAGAAAGATGGATTAATTGTCTCCTGCACTGTGAAAGATGCTATTTGAAGCCTAGAAGGTGAATAAGAATTGACTCTCCACTTGGGGGAAAGAAAATGAAAATATAGAAAGAACTCAGTTTATTTGGAAGTGAGGCAGGCCAAGTTTCTCTTGCTCTTTGTTAGCTCTGTGATAAGGTAGAATATTTATTTGACTGGATCAGAAAAGCACACAGCAGGACAGGAAAAGGTTTTAGAGATCAGTTAGTGCAGGAGCTCCCCAAGTGTGGTCCCCACGCAGCAGCCTTGGCCTGGGAGTATGTAAGGAATGCACATTCTCAGGCCCTGTCCTGCCCTCCTGCGGCTGTGGCCCTGGGAAGGGGGGGGCACCATCTGTGTTGCAAGCTCTCCCAAGTGACCGTGCTGCAATTCAAATGTCACAACTACAGGTTATTGTACTTCCTGGTCCCCTCAGCTGATGTCATAGTTGAAGAAGCCAGACTCTAGACAGACTGAGTGATTTATTCAGGACCACAGAGCAAACACGCCTGTAAAGAAGGCTTGCACGTGGGCTGGCAGGGCTCCCGTCACCCCCATTAGCCACAGGCTGCAGTGATGACACGTGGCAGGGGCTTCCGAAGGTATAAGGGCCGTGTCCTCCTGAGAGTGAGGGCTGGGCGGTGGGAGGTTGTGGGGGGGATTGACTTTGTACCAGCTGATACGTTTTCCACAACAGGGCACATTTTGAGCCTAGGTTGGATGGCCAGAGGTGGAGATGCTGTAAAGGAGCTACGAGAAATGGAGAAATCGTCTAGCTGGTAGTTGAGGCCCCTTACAATGTTGAGCCTGAGAATGGAGGACCGGGGCTTGAATGCTTCTAGGGGAGACAGTGTGTCAGAGGAGACAGTGTGTCAGAGGAGACAGTGTGTCAGAGGAGACAGTGTGT